TTGGCATGTTTGGCTATGGTGGAGTTCATCCACGGCTTCCCTCCCTTGCCGTCCTTCTCGCAAAAGTACCAGTTGGAGACGCAGTATGGATCAAGTTGGATCTGCTCATCACCGGAGCTGTCCTCGCCGTCGATGTCCTCCTTCTCCTCCTTTGGTGGCAGTCCGTCCATGGCACGGACCGCCCGATTCTGCTCACGTGCGAGGGTGTGCGTGTTCCTCCGCTGTCGTTTCTTCACAATGCGGGCGCAGATGGCTTCCTCCTATGCGGTTGCCAGTGCCGCCGCACCAGCCACCTCCGCCGCCGCCATTTTTCACCGCGATACGGGCCTCGGTGGCCCTTATCCGCTCCTTTCCACGGCGGGCCGCCCATTCCCGGTGGGACTCATACTCTGCCGACTGATGATGGGAAAGGAGAGGTGTTCTGGCCGGGACCGCGAGGATCCAGCACCAGAGGACCCGAGCGCCTGGTTAGCCGACGGTATGGCGTCGCGGTAGACGGATCCGTCCATCGGCCGGGCACTGTCCTCCCGGGAGTGGCGGAGTGCAATGCAGACTGTCATTGCCTCCTCCAACCCACACGGGATGACACGCCAGTCGACGGATCCAGACTGGTCGGAGTCTGATCCACTGCCTGCCATGGCGGAGAAGGTCGCAAATCGCCGGAGGTGAGCTCAGGTGGCGGAGGGGAGTGAAGGGGAGCGGAGTGAAGTGGCTAGGGTTTGCTCCGGCGAAAGGATGGGGACGAATATTAGTGAGGTCGGGTGGGCCAACATGGTTCGGGTCCGACGTGGCGGGCATGCCCGGGCGCCCGATATACGCCCCATATTTAAGCTAGATATATGGAGAGTGCCGGTCAGCCCGGGCGTTTGAGGGCCGTTTGAGGTGCCCGTCTGAGTCCAAATTTCGTGACCAGGGGGCCTGCCCGTGCGTTTGAAACGGGTTTGGAAGATTCAATTATAGATGCTCTTAGAATATCTCAAAAGCTTATATTTAGAAACGGAGATAGTATGACACACGCAAGTTGGTTGCATGCACTCGGATCTCCCACGGAAGCAACAGCAGATGGCGGCATGGGACTCTGGTAGTACCCAACTAACTTGCAAATTACTCCGTGGCTAATGCCAATTGTCTAGCAAAGTACTAGTAGTAGTAGCAGGTCATCTAAGGCTTCTCCCAATACTTCAGCTTGTACAAGTGTTAAGGTTGCCATGTAGGTAAAAAGTCTGATGTGGCAACGTAATTAAGAAAAGAGAGATGAGTGTGGTGACCCTAAGAAGAAACAATACTACCTCCGTTTCAGTTTATAAGTCCTACGTGTATACCTAGGTTGTCAATTTTATCACCTTAATATAAACTATATAACACAGAAATTATACGGTTTGAAAATAGAGCATCTGAAGTTTATATTGGTATATTTTTTATAATATATGACTTGTATTAAGTTGGTCAAATTAACGATCTAGGGGCACGCGCACGCCCTGTAAACTGAGAGAGAGGTAGTACTAAACACGAGAACCTAGGTAGATGACTTAAATGAAAGAATCCCACCAATGCATTAAGAACTTTCGTTGCAAAATCATTAAATAAAAGATACTTAGCACCAACGAGTCAAACACCTATGCATTGAGGGCATTAGTTGCTAATTTTTTTAACGTGCTTAGCACCTCATGTAAGCACCAATGCATTGGGAGTAGCCTTAACCGCGGAATTAGGTATGACAGTGTTGCCCATGGGTATGGGTACCCGCGGGTACCCTACCCGAAAACAACGGGCATGGGCAAGACTTGGAGAGATTTTGTATCAACGGGTAATGGGTATCCATACCTGCAAAATATATGGGTAGGGCATGGGTATGAATCTATGCCCATGGGTAACCCAATGAATACCCAGAAAATAATTTAAAAAATGAAATAGTTCCTATGACATGTGGGTCAACATACAACTCCTATGGCCTAACCCTAAATCTCGTGCTCCTTAAACTGTCCATAGCTCGTAGGCTCATAACCATTTAGCTCGCCACTCCTCCTACGACCTTTGTGACTCCTCAAAAAGATGAACTATCGACTCTTTTCTATTGGACTGTTGTCCAACAATCAAACTATCTCCATGAACCCCTGCTCATACTTTATTGATTCCTCCAAGAGGCCTGCAACACGAGGAGGCTGTATCTGTGCTATACTGCTTGCCCATCATCACTTGATTTTTAAACTCATTTTTCTACCTTTTAAAAATTTAATGTTATACATTTTATCCACTGGATACTCATTGGGTATAGAATACCCGATGGGTATGAACACGGGTGTTAATTTATGCCCATGAGTATTGAAGTGGGTGGATATAGAAAGTTTCGGTAGGTATGAGTTTTGACAAAAAGAGGTTGTACCTAATCATACCCTATCCATTGTCATCCCTACGCATAAAAGGAGAAAGAGAGAGATACGTGCAACCGAATCAGCTGGTGAAAGCATTTATGAATTTGCAGCGAGGTCACCGCCCCAGCTGGTGCCGTACGTCCCCGGCGGCGACGGACTCGGTTTATCGGCAATGCTCATGTTCGGCACTGGGTTGCTTTTTTACTCTTCTGTAAAACGCGTGGACAGTCGAGCCCTGCAGCAATAAAAACCGCCGGCCGGCCACCGACGAGCGAGCGAGGACGTGCCGACGCCCTTCATGGCCGGCGGCAACTCACGACGGTAGGTAGGGAAATTAGCTTGTGCGTGTATGAAAAACTAGTATAGAGGCTAAGGCACGCTTCACCTTCACTCCTGTGGTTAACTCCAGACCAGCGGAGTTTATATGTGAAATGGAGAACATAAACAAGGGGATTGACTGATTGATTTACGGATTCTATAACTCATGAACGTCAGGATTTTAGCGTTCGGTCCCAAACGCCTCGACTGTCGTCAGATGATTTGCACACATCTTAGAGCAGGTGACAGTGCCAAGTCAGCAGAGAAGTAGTTCGGGATTTTCCTCTCAACTCCCGAACGACCGATTGACCAAACGACATCGTCTCCTTCTCCCCCCTCAGCCTTATCCTTTTCTTCCCCTCACCCACTGTTCCTCTCCACAGCGTCTCTGTGGATCGCCGCTAGCTGCCGCCACCCGCCAGCTCCCCGCGCCGCCGCGTTGGGCGGGGTCGAGGCCGCATACATCTGTGTGATCCTTGCCGGGGTAGAGGTGCGGTCATGGCGGAGGCCAAGCGCCGCCCGCTCGCCGGCGCCGTCGCGGTAGTCGTCTCCCCTCCTCGAGCTCGTTCAGGCGATGCTGACCGGAGCGCGACGTGACTCTGGTCCGCTCCCACCGACTAGAGGTGCGGCCGTGGCGGAGGCAGAGCGCCCCCCGCTCGCCCACGCCGTGGCGGCGGGCATCTAGGTCGTCTCCCCTCCTCTAGCTCACCGCCCGGCTAGAGGTGTGGTTGCGCGAAGAGGGCGGGCGCGGGGATCACGCGACGACGGTCGCGGCGGCGGCTGAGGCGTACAGGAGCAGGAAGAGCGGCGGCGGAGCAGCGCAACGATGTGCCATCTCTACTCCCGTCCGGTGAATTGGGGGAGGCAGCTATGACTCCAACGATTCCCAGCATGCACCGAGCGGAGAGTGGAGTCGGGGTGCCCGGCGATGAGTCCGCGGTGAGGCAACACGATGGGCTCCTCACAGACGACGTCCATCCTCAGACATCGCCGGGCAATTTCCCCAATGTTGGCATGGAGAAATTAATCTATAACGCCATGGCAATTTCTTTTTGAACCTCTATTTTTTCTATGAGAATTTTATTAATTTATTGCCATGGCAATTTTTACTGTTTTGACATGGCAAGTTTACCTATTTTTGCCATGGCAATATTGGACATTCAAATGAAAAAAGAAACATGGATTTTTTTCTTTCAATTAGCCATGGCAATTTTTCCTATGTTGACATGGCAAATTTATCCGTAACGACATGGCAATTTCTTTTTTTAACCTCTATTTCTTTTTTTAAATTTTATTTTTTTATTTTTTCCATGGCAATTTTTAGCTTTTTGACATGGCAAGTTTGCATATATTGCCATGGCAATATAGGACATTCAAATGAAAAAAAAAAGATGGCAAATTTTTCTTTCAATTTGCCATGGCAATTTTTCCTATATTGACATGGAAAATTTATCTGCAACACCATGGCAATTTCTTTTTTTAACATCTATTTTCTATTTTTCTGTTAAAATTTTATTTTTTTATTTTTTCCATGGCAATTTTTACCTTTTTGACATGGCAGATTTACCTATATTGCCACGGCAGTATAGGACCTTCAAATAAAAAAAATATGGCAACTTTTTCTTTCAATTTGGCATGCCAATTTTATCTATAACGCTATGGCAATTTATTTTTTAACCTCTATTTCCTATTTATTTTTTGTTAAAATTTACTCTTTTATTTTCCCATCGCAATTTTTATCTTTTTGACATGGCGAGTTTACCTATATTGTCGACGTTCGGTAATTATCCTGTAGGGGTAGTGGCAATGGGCGTTCGGGATTTACCTATACTACCTTTACGTACATGTCAATGTAATCACTAATGGTTTTTTCGTGTCAAACCAACTTTATGGGACTGGCATTTTTACTCTATTTTTCTTTGATTTTTTTACTTTACATATGATCCATGGCAATTTTTTGTCCCAGCAAAAAAGGGCTTGTGTTTATTTTGTCCCAGCAAAAAAGGGCTTTTGTGTCGCTTCTGGGCTTTTTTTTTGTTTCTACAGAGAAGAGGCCTGTAAGGCCGTGTTCCTAAAAAAGGGCCTGTAGGGGCAGTGCCAATGGGCGTTCGGGCTGGGGGCCTCTCGTCCCGAACGAAATCGTTCGGCGGGGCTAAAATGGCGTACCGAACCTTTCGTTCGGTAGTTATCCACGTCCTTGATTTATAACACAAACAAAGAGAGACCTCAACAAAAGGAACAACAATAAGGAAAGAAACACACGAATTCGATTACAAACCCCGCGGTACAGTGATCCAGATCGACTGAGCTTTATTGCCATTTTGCGTCATACCAATCAACACGCATACACGCGCGCCGGGATGTTTGGCTGAAATGGAAGGCCGAAAGGAAACAAGAGGAAAACGATGGTCGATGGTGAACGACGCGATCGTCAGGGCCTTCTACTGCACTCGTGATAGCAACCATCCAAGCATTTCTGCGAGCACGAGGTGCTCTGTAGCATGGGGCAGCCAGTGCAGGAATTTGCAGTGCGGGAATATTCAGTGCACCTGGGAGCACAAGCCGCCGGATTGTGTCCGTCAGCGCAGTCATCGCAGCCCGACGCCGTCGCCTGCTGGCTCAAGCTGAGGCCGACCAGCACAAGGACGCACACGACGGCGAGCATCTTCAGAGGGGAAGGTGAAGCCATTGATTCTTGGGAAAGAGCAGAGGATGGTTGCAAATCAGGACGAATAGGTGGGTGGGCAGGCGAACCTGGCCGTTGCTCGGTTATTTATAGCCGAGTGAAAGAGTAGTATATGGAGTTCTGGACGAGATCTACTACTAGTAGCGTGTGAGATGTGACTCGAAAATGCTAAATGGAGGTCGGGCTCCATACAGCTCTTTATTTTGAATAATTTGAAAATTCCTATTTTGAAGTTTCAGAAAAAATCCAAAAACAATCATATGCATTCATACGGACCAAATTAAATAAAGCGGAGTTACTCCAACAAGTTGATTCCCCATCATATTCGAGATCAGAACGATTACCCAGCATATTTTGAGATCAGAACGATGTATTGATAAAAGTACTATAGATTAAAAACCGAATCATGTCAGTCGGCATCTGGCTGCTGCAGGGGGTGATCGGTTGACCCAAAGGTTGCAACTTGCAAACAACTATAGATGCATAAAGCTAATACGGACAGTTGACTTGCAAAATGTATACAAGTACGTGCTAGCATTTAAGGATTCTGATATTTCGCCTATAAATAACACGTACCTGTCGGTGCATGATTCCGGTGGTAGTCTCAATGGGGTGTAGCGCCTGTAGCCAAAGTGTCCTTCTCAGCTCGAGCTCATGTGAGCTCGGTATGAACAGTAAAATCTGGACATTTTGAAACAAATTAAAAAAATCTGATTTTTTCGCGATAAACTTTGACAGTTATTTCTAACGATTGCAAAATTTCATCATCGAATGACATTTGTGGAAGTCGTGGCAAAAAAAAAAAATCACCAAAATGCTTTTGAAACTAACCTTTTGGAGCTTCATTTTTTTGCCACGACTTCCATGAATGTAATTTCGTGATCAATTTTTGCAACTACTTAGGACATTTAACAGTGTTTGACACAAAAATTATTCAATTGTTTAAATTTGTTTTCAATTCGTCTTGGATTTTACATTTCACCCGAGCTCATTTGAGCAGAGCTCGAGCTGAGAAACATCACATCCCGCCTGTAGCCTCTAATGCTGATGACCAAGTTAACAGAGACATGAATTTTGCACTGCCTAATTGCCTTGCTGCTTTCTCTCTTTCTTGTTTATTTATTTGGGAAAGGAAAGCACGTTTGCCGAGATACATGCCCTATCTACTGGATCGCGACATCCCACGAGCAAGTGCACACAACTACGAGATCCTACAATGTCGCCACAAGCACACGGAACACATCGGGTCTATCAAAATAGCTAAGATTATTTCCACAGCCCATAGCTGGAAGTCTATATGAGAAGTAAATGAGACTTGCGCCTAAGAGCTAGGTTATTTCCACAACCCATAGCCAGAAGTCTATATGAGGTCATGCACTTACAGTAGAGGTGATACTCTTGCTTGGACTGGATGGATGGTGTATATGCTCCGTATGAGGGAGATCAACCGTCGTCAATCTCCTCGATGGATCTGCATCTGATCTCCTTCGCCGCGTTGTCGAGGATTTGCCATCCTTCAACACCATCGAGCCCCTTGGCTGCCAAGTCAGATCACATCGACCACGACCACAAGAAGGGCACCCATTATGACTACTCTTTGAAGGTAGGAACCCATCGGTGACAGGGAGGGCACCCATCATCTGTTATCTTCCAAGGGGAAGGAGCCCATATGCGACAACAGGGAGGGAACCCATGATTTTTTTTATCCATGACTTTTGTGAATGTTTGACTATTATTTTTCTTTTTTCTTCATTGCTAGTTTTATTGGTTTTGTCTTCTTTTGTCTCTTCATTTTCTTCTTCTTTTTTCCTTTTCAAATTTAAATTTTTACAAACTTATAAATGTTTTGAAAAATCAGGATTTTTTAATTTATGAACAATTTTATAATTTCTATTTTCAAATTACTGATCTTCTTTTAAAATTGATGAACAAATTTAAAATTCATGAGCATTTTACATATGTAAAGATTTTTTAACCCTTTAAAGTTTTTCCAAACTAATGGAAAAAATTCAGGTTTCACGAAAGAATTAGCTGGTATTAAAAACTAAAAAAAATGTAAACATTTTTATTAAACGGTGAACATTTTCGAACGTTCTCAATTTTTTTAAATTCAAAATTTCTTATAAAAACATCATACTTTTCTAAAAAATTATAACATTTTCATAAAAATGTCAAAAATATATTAAAATGGGAGCAATTTTTAAAACTATAGTGCTTTTAAATTTGCGTTTATTAAAATCGTGAAACCTATTTTGGAAAAAATAGAATTTTCTAGATTTTGTGATTTTTTTTAAAATGTGAACTTTTTTAAAAGAAAAATATAAAAACAAAAATTAACAGGAAAGAAACAACATTCATATAGAAAACCGGTAAAACCTTTGGAAAATAACCAAAAAATAAAAAAAGATGTAGCCAAACAAGAGCCTTCCAAAAATCGAAGAAACCAACAGGACAATCCTTGTAAAATCAAAATCGGACAATATGCTAGCGATTATTGGGACTGGCCCATATCGCTGGCTCGGACCGCTGGTCGACAAATGGAAATGGCCGCAAAGTCTATATGTCGTCTATTGTGAGCTATATAGCGAACTCTCGCCTCTTGCACTCTAGACAGGCTTGCGCCGGACGAGCGCTTTTATATTGGTTTTATCAGGTTTCTTTTTTAGTTACATAGGTTGTACTTGTTCTTGATTCTTTTTGTTTCATCCATGGCTCTATTTTATTTTTTATAGGTTTATTTTTTAGTTATGTTTGTTCTTTTCCTGTTTTACTTTTACTTTTATATTTATTTTAAGGAAATTAGAGAGGTGTTTTCAAATATAGACAGTCTTTTTAATTGTAAAGAGCACATTTTTCAAGAAAAATAACAAAAATAATATGTGTTGGTAAAAATAATTTTAAATACATGGACGTGTTTTAAAAATATATGAAATTTACTTGTATTGCGTGAACACTTTGTTAAGTATATAGATACCTTTTTAGATTGTAGGTTATACTTTAAAAAGTACATCTACATCAATTTTTGCAATAGAAAAAACAATCCACTGTATTATTATGTACTTTTTCTATCTAATATTCTTGAAATAATTTCTACACTTTTTGCGAATTTTCAGTAAAAAGGAAAATAAACTATACTTGTGTTAGTCAGGCGCACTGACTGCAACCCATTAGCCTCCAGAATGGGCGACGCCCCGCGTCATGGCCGCAATGCGCGAGATATAAGACGCGCATGTGTCCTTAGTCCTTTCTCTTTTACAAACATTAACCTTTCTGGCCGGATGGTTTGGAGGATAGTAGTGTCCTCAGCCTACCAGGGTTCAAGTCCTTGACTTGACAATGATGCTTGCATTTTTCTGGATCTATTGCAGACCTTTCGGCGATATGCGTTCAATGTGTAGAGACGTTCGCGTCGACTGCGAAAACGTTTGTGGCGAGTTCATCAATCTCAAGAAGATATGTTGGCTCAGTCTCTCAGAAGTGCTAATAGGGATAGGGTATGCGTGTATTCATGTTCATAGGGATGAGTGTATACGCATATGTATGAGTGTGCGCATTTGTACTGCGTTAAAAAAAAGTAACTTTTTTTTGCGAGGATTCTGTTTTGTTTTCATTGGAACAATTTTAGAGGTTATTTAGAACATACTCCATGCATGTCTCTAAAATGCAATCCTTTGAAGCATAAAGAAGTTATCAGAAAGAAGACGGCACGTATGCATGCATCAATCTTCCGCGAGGTGCATGCAAGCCCTAGAATCCAAGATGGATGCGTGGACCACGTAGACACTAGTACTGATCGTCGAGCAAGCTAGCGACGACCTTCTGCGCCGACGGTGGGTCTCGTCGGTGGCCGGCCGGCTGACCTTGACCTGCAGGCACACATGACACATACATATATAGCGTCACATGCATGCATGCACGAGCATTCCTACATATATCGCCATGCACGCACAGACAAAGCTAGCTAGGTAGGTATTGCCACTGGCTCGCTGTCCGGTCCCTACATGGCTTGGCCGGTACTCAGCGTGGTCCGATTGCGGCTATGCATGCGTGCTTTGTCCAATATGTCTGCATGAGCTTCCACTTGGAGCACCGTCGGCCACCTCCGTATGTGCATAAGGGCATCTATAATGCCGATCCGCAAATCGGACATCGTATTCCGAAGTACGTGAACACGAATGCAGGAACCAACCATCCAACACTACATGCATACATTTCAAACACTGTTCCAACTAACCCGACGAATTTCATGCAAACCGGATGATATTCATACAAACTGGAGCATAC